GTGTGTTAATGAATGACAGACCTTCTGTTCTATCCCAATTAAGCAAACATTTGTTCAGCATCTACTATGTGCCAGGCACTGGATCCAGAGGCAAGGACACAAGGACGATTACTTCCTTTGAAGAGCTTATGGACTTGCAAGGGGCTCACAGGCAGTTTGTTTTGGAAATACCCCTTTGGCAGTTTTCCGAACAGGCAGAAGAGAAAGGAAAACCATCTGGGAGATGATTTTAATAATCCAGGCAAGAGATGGTGTCACATATTGTTTTCCTTCACAGCTCTTCCTTCCTGTTTTTCCCTTTAGGGGGAAAGAGGGTGGGAGGAGAGGTGGTCATGGGAAGGGTGAAGGGGCTGGAGAAGAGGACTAGTCAAGGAGAAAGGCAGTTGTCCTTCCCCTGCTGATGAAGGAAGCGGGTAAGCCACAGAAAGGGGCAGCCACTGTGTAGATAAATATCGGGGATGCCTGGGCCTTGTTGGGATGGTGCTTCAGCTAAGAAGTCCCACTCCTTTCCAATCCCCTAAAATAGAGACATCTGTCTCTAAAATTCGGGAAAAAATGGGGATCACAATGACTTCAGCAACTGAGGCTGTTCAGCCTTTCCTGGCATCCTTAATCTTTGGACCCTGCCTTAATCTTTGTGAATGTAGTGTTGAAATAGGAAGGAAACCCCACAGCAGAGTGTGCATTTCATCATTTGTCAAGCAGGAGCAGTCGTTTTGCTGGGTCTTTGTTGCTCACGGGCTCGGAGCTAAAAATAAACGTTCCAAAGAAAGCTCCCTTTAGGTGGTCCTACCAAGGCAATTTACATTATCAGCTCCTAGCTTCAAGACTAATTTGGAACACTCCTGCATTTGATGTGCTCCATTTTTTTTCAGGGGTGGCTGCTTTTTCACAACAGACTCCAAGGAAGTGCTCACCACAGGGATCTCAAATCTTGAGTCAAGAATTAGGACAAGAGGTGGGGAGTGGGGGGTGGGGTTAGCACAGTTTTAGGTGTCAGGTAGACTCCAATTGGATTCCCTGCATAGGGCTATCAAATTCTTCTGCCCCATTTTTTTCTCCTAGGTGAAGGTTAAAAATATCTGCCCACATAATTATACTCCTCTAAGCTTTGTACTACACCCAGTAACTTCGTGGGGTCACAATTCCCTTTTACGGTGCATGCTGGAGAGTAGTCTGCAGTTGTCACTGTCAACTCAGAAAGAGCATTTATGTCAGAGCACAGAGATCCTCAAGGCAGTCCTCAGATTGAGTGGCATGTCATATGCAGGTCATTCTGAGCAGTGTCAGGGAGCCTGAGCCTGAAACTTGGGGGCATGGCTGCCTGCACCATCACGGAGACCGTGGAGCCGGGAAGCAGCGGGGAAGTGCCTGAGCCATCAGAAGGTAATAAGCTGTCACTGTCGACCCTGCCCAAATGACCCCTTAGGTGGCACAACTCAGACAGGTCTGACTTCTATTACCAAAGGGCATGTGTATAACCTGTCACATTATAAAGAGAGCTTTCAAAGACAATTTTATTATTTAGCCATTTTGACAACTTCATGGAATGACTTAAACTCTATAAAGATGAGGAAATGAAAACTCAGGGGGGTTAATTGACTTGTCCGAGTTCAAACTCACCAAAATCTCAAGCATCAGAGTATGGGAAATAAAACTGATGCTTGTTTTAGTGACGTTCAACATCTATTTGGCAATAATGTCTTACCATCCAGAAGCAAGATACCTCTCACCATCCATTAAAATCTCAAGTTTTGTCCTCCACTTACTGACTCAGCAGCTACAGACTAAGTGCATAGTTTGTGTGTCAGGCACGTACAAAACAATGCAGTTTTGCTGTTATTGTTTTGCTTTATTTCATTCATTATATATAAGTTCTGCATAACTTTATAAAGTCTATTTCTTAATATATTTTTAAAGTATTCTTGCTGTTTGAATGTGGTCTTATTTGTATTACATTTCTCCTTTACTATAGGGAGAGAGGAAAGCTGCTGCCATTTCTGCTTTAATTTTCACACTAACTGCCCAATTGAACTCTCTAATGAGTTTTCAGTTTCTAAGTTAGTTATCTTGTGCTTTTCAAGTAGACAGCTATGTTATCTGAAAATAATGATACTATTAATTTAAAATTTTCCTGGATCTTTCCCTCTTACCTCCTTCCCTTTCTCTCTTCCCTTAACTACCTTCTTTAATTGGACTGTCTTGAATTGGTAAAAAGAAAAATGCTCGCTCTGAGTTGGAATGAGGGTTGAGATTCAGAGAAAAGCTCCAAGTTTCAGTATCTCAGTGGCTTTTGGGAGTTGAGGAGAGGCACTACACCTGCTGTTGCCAGGCTCTGAAAAAGAAAAAAAATAAGCTTAGAAAGGAAGGTCTTTGTGGAGGAGCTGGAGGAAACAGCCTATTGTGTGCACAGTTCTGATGGACCAGAGGACAATAAGGCCCTCAGCCACTGTTGCTGCCTTCAGAACCAGAGAACATCCATCCCCTATGCAGAGGAACTCTGGCAACAGCCCTATGCAGGACTGCCCAGCAAAAGAGCACCCCCCTTGCCTTAGCACCACATAGACCACTTCTCCAGATGTTCACATCAGTTGGCTTATCTCATATGTCTCTTGGGGTTGGCCCACAAGATTAAGAACCACCCTCCAAGGGTGCCTAGGTGGCTCAGCCGGTTAAGCGTCCAACTCTTGATCTCAGCTCAGGTCATGATCTTAGGGTTCTGAGATGGAGCCTCGCCCCTGTCTCTGTACTGGGTATGAAGCCTGCTTAAGATTCTCTCTCTCCCGCTCCCTCTGCCGCCACCCTCTCTGTCTCTCTCTCTCTCCCTGTCTTAAAAAAAAAAGAACCACCCTCCATTGAGGCAAAATGTGACACTGTGGGGCGCCTGGGTGGCTCAGTTGGTTAAGCGACTGCCTTCGGCTCAGGTCATGATCCTGGAGTCCTGGGATCGAGTACCCCATCGGGCTCCCGGCTCAGCGGGGAGCCTGCTTCACCCTCTGACCCTATCCCCTCTCATGCTGTTTCTCTCTCTCTGTCAAATAAATAAATAAATAAAATCATTAAAAAAAAAAAGTGACACTGCGACATGATGGGTAGGCACATGAGCTCTGGAGCCCATCTGTATGGGCTCAAACCCTGGCCCCACCATTCCCTGCCTGTGAGACCACTTGGGAAAATTACCCTTCTGTGCCTATTTGCTTAGCTATAAAATGGAGTTAATATTTGTACCTACCACCCAGGGCTTTAGGGAGGACTAAATTAGTAAATATATGTAAAGTGCTGAGAACAAAGCCTGGCTAACAGAATGTGCCCAATAAATCTTAGCTAAAATAGTGCCTGGTGAGTGAGCTCATTAGAACTAAGGTTCTGGCATGCTCTGGTGGCAAGACTTTAGGAAAGATGCTTAAAATTTCCCATTAATCTCTCTGAGCCTCATTGCCCTCATCTGCAGAGTTAAGAACACCTTCTTTGTTTAAATTATAGGAGAATTACTTCAGAAAAGGTATATAAAACAGCTGAAATGGCAATGACCTGAAGTTGGTTTCCTTCCCATTAAATATATTTATTATATCATAAGTTCCATGAGGAGAGAGACTCAGCTCTGTGCCTAAATACATCAGGGACTTAACTAGATCCAAAGAGGAAGCAAGGTTTTGCCCTGAATAAGAAGTTGTAGGATTAAATTCCATCCATCCTTCACTCTACAACAGAATCATTTTTTTAGAAATACCTTGACCTTGGTCTTTTCAGTGCTCTTTCAGTAGGGTAATTGAAGGAGGGTCAATTTACAAAGAGACTATTTACAAAGTTATAATGAGATTTGAGGATCTCCCAGGGATAGTAAGTAACACAGGGCTGGTAAGACGAGTAAGGCTGTTTCTATCTCTCAGCCTACAGAGTCAAAGGGAAGCACTGGTCCTAAGAACCTGGAAGGAGGGAGTCCCATAGAAAGAGTCTCTGTGAGAAGCACTGAGCTCCAGTCAAGAAACAAAGCCAGCCCAAGGTCACCTTACACAAAGGGAGGCAGAAAAATACTTTGAACTCCCTCCCCAATCTTACATCAGTCTCCTGCTGGAGCTTCCCAGTGGTGGAATTCAACCAGAAACCAGGTGCGATGAAAGTAGGGTTGCCAGATTTAGCAAATCAAAAATGCAGGACACACAGGTAAATTCCAATTTCAGATAAACAACAAAGAAATTTTTAGCATAAGTGTATCCCAAATATTTCAGAGGACACACTTATACTAAAAACTTATTTGTTACTTATCTGAAATTCAAATTTTAACCTTTCACCCTGTTGATGAGAGATCATTGATGGTTTCCATATAGGTCAGCCTCCCTGAGCAGAGAGCAGGATGGAAAGTTCAGGAAAGGGTGGATGGAGGATGAGAGGTAAATGCAAAATAGTCTGACACACTCATTAGCTCACTTCTTTTGCCCCAACATATTCAGTATTTTTTCTTGTCTAGAAAAGTTTGAAACACTAACATAGAAAATACGTGAAATCACAAGAACTGCCATGTCATCATTGGATCAATTATGTCATAGCCCTCTCCAAAACTAGCCTCCAGAACTGTGAGAAATACATTTCTATTGTTTAAAAGCTACCCTATCTGTGGTATTTTGTTATGGCAGCCCAAATAGACTAAGACCACCATTTTCTTTCTCCACTAACTGGTCCTAGGAAACTCCCCATGAAGCCATAGCTGTGGGTTGAGGGAGAGACAGTAAAGGTGTCGAGAGCATTCTATTTTTAATCTGAATCATCTATTTGTACATGAGTGTTATAATTAATATTTTTATTTATAACTTCCATTTATGTTATATAATCTTGGTTGTATTTATGCAAACAAGAAAAAAGGAAGAGAGGGGTGAGGGGAGAGAGGGAAGACAGGAGGGAGGATGAAAAAAAAGATTTAAAAAATATACTGAAGTAAATAAAATATGACTAATTAGTTAAGCAAGTGGTGGTTTCTAGTTAGTATAGAAAAATTGACTTACTTGGGGTGCCTGGGTAGCTCAGTCGTTAAGCAACTGCCTTCGGCTCAGGTCATGATCCCAGGGTCCTGGGATCGAGTCCCACATCGGGCTCCCTGCTCGGCGGGAGGCCTGCTTCTCCCTCTCCCACTCTCCCTGCTTGTGTTTCTGCTCTCTCTAGCTCTGTCTCTGTCATATAAATAAATAAAATCTTTAAAAAAAAAAAAAGAAAAATTGACTTACTCTTTGATATCGATCTGAGAACAATGTTTTAGTCACTCACTAAATTTCAATATCATAAATTTTAGACTGTAATTCATAGAACCTGGATTGAAGGTTTGGGAGTGAGTTTAGAAACAAAGAATATACAGAAACGAATACATATTTGAAGCATAAAACAATTGCTTATTAGCAATATTAAGAGTTCTTAACAATGTGTCATTTTAATATATTCTATTGCTATAACACACGTATACCACGTGTATTTGTTTCAAATTAATAAGCTTAAAATGTCTGATGAATTTAATAGTATAGTCTCTCTTGATCTTATGGTTCTTGCAAACAAAATTTAAATTCTAAAATTGCAAATCTCCAAGGATCATAAAGTAGGAATTACAAGGCCAAATACTTATCAGCATTTTAGTTTTAGTTTTAGAGGTTATATCTACCTTTCAAACTTAGCAATTTTACATATCATCCTCTGGGAATTAGTCATTGTCTCTATAATTTTGGCAATGCTAATATCCCACTTATGTGTTCTGTGAATGAATACCATAATTCGGGCACCCACACAGAAGAATTCTAAAGAACTTCAATAGCACTTTAATGTAGTTAACTAATAAGAAAATGGGCACACAGGAAGCTCACATGGGAAATTCTTTGTAATGACACTTAAGGACTTTTTTAAGATTTCAACTAGACAATTCACAAAGTAGATAGTTGTGGGTAGAGAATGCAACAGGGAACAGGAATAGAATCATAGTGCAAGAGGGATATAAGTAGAATATCAGAGAACATCTCTCTGAAGGACCTGATTTGACCAGAAAGGAAACGGGTACCTGAGACAATGAATAGAGGTGCCAGACCATGGCAATTATTTTTGGCTTTAAGTACAGCTCTAAAACCCTGTCTAGAACCTTTTTAACAAGAGTGACAAATACTCTGGTGAGATTTTAATAACACTTGAAGAAAAGATTGCATGTAAAATAAGAACATTTGACCTGGTGATACTTGGATGTATGTGCTCCAGGAAAAAGAAAAAATGTACTTCTAGAAGTGACACCAATGAAAAGGGCATTCATCCCTAAAGTGAAGGGTAGAGGATTCTCTTTGATGTCTTTCTGGCATGCTTCTTTTTCCTGCTCTTGGTTTAATCACTGGGGTCAGGCTTGTCTGGAAGATTTGGGACAGTAAATGGCTACCATAAATTCCCACAGGTGACACCAGTTGATCCCACCAAGATAAGAAGCTGTGCCCCAGACACATGGCCAAAACCATCTTTAAAAGCATCCAAGTCGGGGTGTCTGAGTGGCTCAGTCGGTTAAGTGACTGCCTTCGGCTCAGGTCATGATCCCGGAGTCCTAGGATGGGGACCCGCGTCGGGCTCCTTGCTCAGCAGGGAGTCTGCTTCTCCCACTCCCTCTCCCTCTGCCCCTGGTCCTGTGCATGCTCTCTCTTTCTCTCACTCAAATAAATAAATAAATAAAATCTTAAAAAAAAAAAAAAAGCATCCAAGTGATATAATGCAACAAAATTACAGGGTGGCACCAATGGCAATGTATGCTTCTAGGGAACTGGAACTCAACAGTTGTGGTTTTCTGGAAAGGGGTGGTAGATTGAAAAGAAGACTGGAGCAGTAGCTAGAAGATCTGGATTTTTAGGCTCTTCTCAACCTTTCGCTGGATTTGTAAGATTGAGTAAGGCACTTGGCTTCCCTGAGTGTCAAATCAGGATCAGAATGGTGAGATTAGGCTTGGCACATAGTAAGCACTCAAAAGTGTTATTTATAATCATTTGGATTTTATTATAATCTTGCAAGACTACTGTGTTACATAAAAATGCATATATGGAAAATTGCAATGCATTATGTACACCCCAGGAGCTATGTAATTTCCTGTAGATTATGAAACTCGTATCCTTTCTAGCAGTTGTTACTTGGACCTTTAAAATTCAGGCAATTGAAATATTTTTCAGGATATAGTGAAAATTTTAAGACATCCACCAAAATCATTTCCTTCACAATGACTGCAGCTAGGGGGAAAAAAACCTCCTATGTGTATAGGTAAGGAATGAACAGGAATGTGGGAAAATGACAATAATTAGATTTGCTAATGGTAGTAGAAATGTGACTTATTCTTTTGTATTTCTATGTACTTGAATCTGTTCTCTAAATTAAAATAGCTTTAATTCAAAAATAATGAAATGCAAAAAAAAAATAATGAAGTGCAAAAAGTTAAGCTAAACATTGAGATTTACACTAGGGAACTCTGATATCCTAAATAATCCTAAATAATACTAATATAACAGTTATCCATTTTGCTGAGCATCTCCCATGGGTTGGGAGCTGAGTGCTTTCCATGCACAGATCTGTCTCATTTTCCCAACAATACTGTGAACTGTAGGATACACATAAGGAAACTGAAGCTCACAGATTCCCAGCTTGCCAAGGTCTCCCAGCTGGCAAATGTAGAGTACAGAGTGCTTTGTGTTTAACAGTTCAGAATAAATATTGGTCCCTTTAATCCGGGGAATACAGATGGGTTTGAGTTCTATTGGCTTTTTGGTGGTATTTGGAGCACTGAAGAGAAGGTTAAGTCGCTGATCATGAGTATTTTTCACTTATGACTCATTCACTCCTACACTAGTGTGTGTGCACCAACTTTCCATGGCTTCCTGGTTGCCTGCACACACCTCCAGAGTGTGCGAGGACTATTCAAACAGCAGATGACAGATGAGGGGCAAGGCCCAGAGAGACAGGGAGGAGTCCGAGCTGGGGGGAGAAGAGAACTGAAATGGCTTTGGAGGCCTCCTGGAACCAACACCAGCTACTAAAAAGAAGGAAAACACAAGCAAAGCAAAGGTTCTAAATTTAGCCCTGGGGCCCTCCAGGCAGTATTTCACAAGGGCACTGCTATTTCCAGGAAAGAAGGGGGGGGCTTCTGAGAACCTGTTTCTCTTAAGGTGCTGTGAGCTTCCTTCTTAACAGACAAGCTGGGGAACCTCGGCTGCACCCCATCCTCGATGTTACCAAATTGGACGTAAAGATGGTTCTAAATGCCTTTCTTGCTTTCTGCATCTAATTTGCATTTTTCTAAAAATTAATGTTGCTGATATTATGGGAGAGAGCCAAAATAAAAAAGAAATAGAGTACTCTTCTAGAAGTTGGGGATCAAAAATAAAATGTTTATTACTGCATTTTTCAAGGGATTTGAGGACATTTAACTGAAGGTGATAACAGTAAGCATTGCTAACTCTTCTGTGACGTCAGTTATAACTGAAACAGCTGATTACCAGTAGGTAAATTATCATGACTTTCTTTAGCAAGTCGTTTTTGAGCACAAAACCTGTACCAAAAACTCGGCAAAGCATTAGGGCTATAGATAATAATTAGACATAATCCCCCCCTAGTCTAGAGAGTGAACACTATATTATGATAAATGATTCATTATAATGTGATAAATACTCTAGTGGATGAATGCGCAAAACAGGGGTGCACAGAGAGAAGCAGTGGGAGTTGGAGCAGAGCAGGGGTTTATCAAATAAGAGAAGGGAAGGTCCCTCCAAAGTGGGACAGTATTCTTGAAAACTATGAAGGGATCCTTTTTTGAGAGGCACTGTAGGATCAGTATTAGGGACAGACAGAAGCTTTAGAATCAATGTTCAGAGCCTGGCTCTGTCACTTACTACCTAATGTAGTAGATTTCAAAAAGCAGCCAAAATCCTCTACTTCCTTCACAATGTGAAGCTCCTCCAATCAAGACGGGGAGAGTCTTCTTTACTCCTTCCATCTGGCTTCGCCATGTCACTTGCCTTTTGAACAAGCAGAAATCTGACGAGCCTTGAGCATTACATCATGTCCTCTCTGGGTTTGTCGACCACTGAGATCACCACGTGCACAGCCTGATTACCCATTGTCAGATAAGAGACTCTGAGACCTAGCAGGTGACCTCAGGTGTGTGAGTGACCCCAGGAAGACCAGCAGTAGAAGTGCCCAGCTCAGCCTACACCAATTGTTTACGCACAGACTTCTGAGCTGTAGAAATGATTGCTATTGTAAGTGCTAAGTTTGAACATGGTTTGATATAAATAAAAACTAATTGGTACATTCAGTGGCTCTGGATAATTTTCTTCACCTCTTTAAACTTGGTTCCCTCGTCTATAACATGGAAATAATCAGAAGAATTGTCTCTTCAGTTGCTGAGAGTATGAAATAAGATAATGCATACAAAGAACTTACAATGTCTGGCACCATAGAAATAGTGACTAGATAGATAGTGATTAATAGTATGATTACATGCTTATAACCAGAATTGAATTTTTCCAGAAGTCAGGAGTGGCCCAATGGGATGTTGTATGCTCTATAACTACTAGAACCATAACATTTCCTGTGATATGTTTTGAAAGTAAACAATGGGGGGTGGTGCACCTGGGTGGCTCAGTCTTTCTGCTCGGATCATGATCCCAGAGTCTTGGAATTGAGCCCCATATCCAGGCTCCCTGCTCAGTGGGGAGTCAGTTTCTCCCTCTCCCTCTGCCCCCTCCCCCCCACCCCCTGCTCATGCTCTCTCTCACTCACGCTCTCTGTCTCTCTCAAATGAATAAATAAAATCTTTTTTTAAAAAGTAAACAATGGAGATTCTTGTTTGTTTGATGTTTCAGCTTCTTTGGGTGTTTCATATACCAGTTAATAGGTTTTTAAATGCTATGTGGTGAAGTGCTATGTATTTGTGGGGTTTTTGTCCTAAATTCAACTTCTACTTTTTTTTAACCATTGCCTCTGCACCACGATGTTGAGCAGCTGAATCTTCTGCTTTCTCGGACATATAACGTCTTCCTGATTCATCTCCCATGGGGGCAGCAGGGGGAATGTAATACTTAACTACATCATAGGAAGGATATGTGGGTTTGCTAATGGCCTCCTGAAAAAATTAAGTGTTAAGTGGTTCGATTCTTTCTACTTCTCTATTTTAAACATCAAGTCTAACAGAATTT